GTCTCGCTCCACAGGCTTCTCTGGACACATACACAACAATTGTCTAGAACTGCCGGCGTTTAAAATGGCTTCTTTAGTCACTGATATTCATAAACACCAATTATCTCGGTCAACAGGCTTCTCTGGCGATATACAAACTGCAGGTGTTCCAGGTGCGGTTAGTTCTGAAGTTTGTGTGCTTCAGAAGTTCTCCGCCGTCTTGTACACCTATTGTCTCGGTCTCCAGGCTTCTCCGGATACATTTAGACTTACTGACTCGGAGCGCAGGCACAGCCAGAAACAGTCATGTCTTCAAATATCAGAGTTATCAACCAAGAATTGAAGTGTTCAAAAACTCGTATTTCTCCAGAACTATCGTAGACTGGAACTCGTTGCCACCAGGCACAGTTGGGGCATCATCACTAGAAAGCTTTAAACAACTCCTGCAATCAAATGTGCAAAGATTGAGTGTAACAAGCCGTTCGGTGTAATGTAGCTAGCTGCCAACGCGCCGCATGCCTGCGAAACTGATGTGTTACGCCGAAGGGCGGTTATACCGGCTATACAGATACAGATACAGATTTTCAAGGGCCCTTGTTAAGTTTGTAGTAATGTTTCCTGTTAGTTGACGGGTGTTTGCGGCGAGCTGAGTAATTATTGACCGGTAATTATCCTGTTAAAACGATCGCCTGTTGATGAGTCGAGCATGGACCCGCCCTACTTGTCTACTCTCCAAGCAGAGGTTTGGGCTTTATTTAGGCGTGTTTTTATTAGGCTTTTTATCAGGCTTTCTTTTCTGCACTGCTTGGAGAGTATTCCCGGGTATCTACCAGGCTTCGGGAGGCGGCTGGAAAGAGTTGGCATTTTCCAAATAGAGAGAGAACATGCCGTGGGATGGTCAGGTAAAGAGTACTCTCCGGAGGTTTGGGTTTTGGGTTATATTTGGCGTGTTTTAAAACTTTTTATCGGGGTTTCTTTTTTGCATTGGAATGTTTCTTTCAAATTCCAGTGCAAAAAAAGAAACCCCGGTAAAAAAGTCTAAAAACACGCCAAAAATACCCCCAAACCCAAACCTCTGCTTGGAGAGTACAACCCTCCCCCAGTTTCGCACCTCCCATTTGGGTATTTCTCCGTTTGGCGTTCGGCGCTCTGCAAACTCCGCAAAGCCTTTACTGATCGGACAAAGATACAGGTTCTATTTAGAGAGCGGTCGGGAAAGTTTGATTTAGTCGGGCCTGCGTCCGCCTCTGTCGTTAGACCACTGAAATGCCGATCCCTGAAACCTTTGTGCGTCTGTCAGAGGTGAAAAAGTCGCCGCCGGTATCAAGGAGCTTTCTGCTGCTATCGAACCTTTTGTAGTGGCGTTTAGTCATGTTTAATAGTAAGCCGCTTGAGTTCTGACTAGTAGCCGGTCGTGTGTGGACTTCTGTACACACGGAACCGCTCCTCAAAAAAACGAAATATTTGTCTCAGAGCGATTTTATAGCCCCTACCGTGCTCCTCAGTTTGCAGGAAAAATTATCCCCTTAATTATTTGGCTAAATTTGACTATAGTATTTTTCAGCGCTAGTTAGCCTGGTGGGGACTACTAGTAACTCAGAATTCTCTCTTCCCGGATGCCGTCTCCCGAAGCCTGGTAGAGGCTAGGCCCGGGTGTGTGTTCTAGTTGCCTCCCGAAGCCTGGTAGAGGCTATTCCCGGGCATGTGGCCCGTCTGTCAGAATGTGGAGCAGAAGTGACAGGTCCGGATGATGGATGAGGCAGAACCATGAGGACAGATCCAGCCGACTGCAAACCCGACCGGACAGCAGCCCGCCTGTTTACCCACTTTTACCCTCCCAAATCTCGCACTTCACTCCACACACAAGACACACGAACGAACCAGACCATCAAAAACGTGTGAAAAAGTCGCTGTGCGTTGCGAAAGTTGGAAAAGAAGCGAGGAGAAGGGTTGTGGAGCGGCCAGCTGGAATGTGACCCTGTGACGGGAGCCGGCGGGCATGGCGTATGGTAATGGTGGGGGCGTGGCGAGGCGAGGACGATTGTTGGGGAGGGTTTCTGTGACGGGAGTTGTGAAGCCGCTATTGTCAGTTTGCAAATACTCTTAGCGTTGAATACCAGTCTCCACCAGAGTTCTTTTGGCCTGCTGAATAAATCGGAGAAATCGGCCTAAAAAGGGTATTAATTGGCGAGAGAAGGTAGCCGGCCATCGACGATCAAATTGGCCAAACTGTGGAAGGCGAAACACATTTTATCACAGAGTACTAGTATATAGCATATAGCTCTCTATAATAGCAATGAACAAAAGTAACTTTCACACACATACGATTGTTGGGGAGGGTTTTTGTGACAAGAGCCACTATTGTCAATTTGCAAATACTGTTAGCGTTGAATACTAGTACTAGGGGGGCTGCATGCCCCTTTTCGCAAGGCATAATCAGGCCTTTTTAGTCTTCGTAATCCGTAGACAGCCTCCCCAAAAATCAACGTAATTCGTAATCAGTACTCAATAGCAATGAACGAAATGAACTCTTTCTTGTAATATCAAATGTTCCTTTTGTATTTAGCCCTCGGGCATGAGTTTACGATAATTATCGTCACAAGTGGCCCAGCCTAACCTCCCGTGGCTTCAAGTCACCGACACGCATTGTCTCGGTCCTCGGGCGCTTCTCAATGGCTTCCCCCGTCATCTACACCTATTGTCTCGCTCCACAGGCTTCTCTGGACAATTGTTTGGCTCCCCAGGCGATTTAAAATGCTCCTCCCGTCATCTACACCTATTGTCTGGGTCCACAGGCTTCTGCGGCAACTTATACAGCTATTGTATCGCTCTCCAGGCGTTTTGGACGGCTTCTATGATCTGCTATGGCCATATATACACCAATTACCTCAGTGTCCAGGCTTCTCTGGACGCATACGCACCTATTCAATAGTCTCCACCAGACTCCTTTGCAGGCCAATGATGTCCCCCTCAGCCGATTTCTACTATTTATCCAGCCTGGAAAGGAGTCTGGTGGAGACTAACTATTCAAGGCTATTGTCTAGATCTGCAGGCGATTTAAATGGCTTCTGTCGTCACATATACACCGATTACCTCGGTTTCCAGCCTTCTCTGGCCACATGCACACCTACTGTCTCGATCTGCAGGCGTTTCAGGTGCGGCTAGTTCTAAAAAATACACCTATTGTCTCGGTCCACAGGCGTTTTAAAGGGTCTTTTAGTAGTGTTGAACTACAATAACCGTGGACACGTAGCCTCGCAGCAGGCTTCTTGGTTGGATCCTATTTGATCTGCCGCAGACAAGCGAATGAACGTGACGGATAACAGTCATACTCCTTTTCACAAGATCGGTGGCCACACAAACTACTAATAGATAGCATTCCAGGGGAGTTTGGTCCTGGAGCATGTTATCTCTCTATTTGGCCGATTTCTACTCTTTCCAGCCGCCTCCCGAAGCCTGGTAGAGGCTATTGTTATCTCTCTATTTGGCCGATTTCTACTCTTTCCAGCCGTCCCGAAGCCTGGTAGAGACCACGGTACCGGACAGCTATGATAATAAATGAAATGGTAGCCCCTGAGGTCGGAACCGTGATTGCGGCGGATCAGCAGCCCGTGAAGCCTGCTGTACAGCATGTACAGGCTATATGCTGGGTGGCCCATGAAGTCTGCTATCCAGGCTACTGCCCCAGGTATACGCTGGACAGGTATGATGATAAATGAAACGGTAGCCCCTGAGGTCGGAGCCGTGATTGCGGCGGATCACCGGAGCCAAGAAGCGGCGGCCTCTGACGAGGTTTTAATGTGCTCATTTCTGCCGGAGCACGCTCGCCGCAACCTGGATAAATCACACGACAGCTTTATCAAACCTCTCTGGACGGACGGACGTTAGCTGGACGTTAGTGTGCTTTGGGTCTGGCATCTAGGCTGACCGGACGTATTCACGGCCAGTGGAGTTGTAAAATTTAGGGAATCAGGGCTGTTACAGAGTGTCCAGCTTGGCTGTATCATGTGTATGTGTATTTGTATTTATGCAAACGATAAATTTATATTTTTGATGCGTCTAGACAAATCCTGTATCACCAACATGATCTGTCCCCACATTTTCCATTGTACAAAAAGGCTAGCCTGGTTACCAAACCTATTATAGCTCCCGAGTCCT